CTCACTTTGTTTATATCTTGTGATACTTTACATATTTGTCAAATATTGGTGTCTTGTGATACTGAAAATATTTGTCAAGTTTGATTCTGGGTAAAATCTCTTGATTCTTCTAAGTCCAACTTGTCTACCCAACTCTTTGGGTTACCTCATCTATAATAGTTCTTTTTTTCCTTCATTTAAAATTAAAAAAAAAAAATTGAAAGGCAGACAGAAACAGAAATAGAGACAGGGAGAGATCCTCTCTCTGTTGGTTCACTCCCTAAATGCCCAGATCAGCCAGGACTGGGCCAGGCCAAAACTAGGTGCCATGAACTCAATCTGGGTTTCCCATGTGAGTGGCAGGACAGCAACCACTTGAGCCATCAGCTGCTGCCTCCCAGGGTGTGCACTAGCAGGAAGCTGGAATCAGAAGTGGAATCAGAAGCCAGACTCAAACTAGCACTCTGATATGTGCTTCAGGCAGCCCAAGCAGTGTCTTAGTTGCTTCATCAAATGCCCACCCCTGTAATAGTTAATATGAATTGGAAGTACCGGTATGAATGACACATTTACTAATTCTCTCCACCAAAAATTTCTGCAAGTTATGACAAGGCAATAGCAATGTGTATCCTTGGTGCCTACATTGTTATATGTAATATGCAATATGTAACTAAAAGGAATCTAGATTCCTTATAGAAATGGTTCAGATTCATTTTGGGGTCAGGAAAGGTATAAAATGAGTTTGTGACATCTTGTCCTGCTTGATGAAAAACACTTGTGAAACACCATCAGGATCTAGTCAAAAGGACAAAGGAGTGAACTTAAAGGAATTCTCAATGGCAAAAAACGGAATAAGTTGAGCAAGAGAAAAGGATGATTATGATGAAATGGAATAAAAAAGGTATAAAAATCCATGAAATGATTCCAGCAATATTATGAAACAGTATTTGGTCTTGTCCCTTGTTTACTGACATGCAGCTCCTAAAATCTTTGCAACAGTAAGAGTGTCTTCTTATGCTAAGGAAAGCAATGGTTGGGGCTCTCAGTCTCAAGATTCAACTAGGTGAGTAGACCTTCCGGGGGAGGGAGTGAATGGATAAACGAATGGCCAGTGTCCTAATCAATCTTCCCTACATAATGAAACGTCTATAAAAACCCCAAAGGATTGAGTTCTAGGAACCTCCCTATGTCTGAATACATGGCAGTTCCCAGAAGGTGGTGCACCTGGAGAAGGGACGGAAGCTCTGTACCCCTCTGCCTGTATCTCATTCTACGTGTGTCTTCCATCTGGCTGTTTATCTGTATCCTTTGTAATGCCCTTTATAATAAATGGGTTAAGGTGTGGCCCTGAGTTCTGTGAACACACTAACAAATTAATCAAATCCCAAGAGGAGGCTGTAGAAATCTCGATTTATAGCCAATGCACAGGTCAAAGTATTCAGAGTTTGACTGGCACCTAAAATTGGGGATAGTCTTGTGGGTCTAAGACTTCAAATTGTGGAATCTGATACTGTCTCTAGGTAGATGGTGATGGAAAAAGAGTTAAATTAGGGGAACCCAGGTGGTGCCTGCTGGTCAATCCACTGCAAAATTGCTTGCTTGAAGTCACTGGTGTTTTAGTATTGACTGAGTGAGAATAGGGAAAACACTTTGGGTCAGTTTTTCCTATATTCTTACAATGCTTGAAAATAAAGCATAGCAAAACAAACAAATACAAACAAAAACATATGATCCCCTGTGAAGGTTGTTAGGACATCAAATTCTTATTTGAAAATATTCCAAGGGAAAAAAAATGCAGAATTTATCCTGCTTTCCCTGTATGGACTATATTTCAAGATGATTAAATACTTGATGAGGCAAATATCTTTGTAAGAGAAATCTCTGATAACACAATATGGAAGAATGGCAGGATTAGAAAATCTCCCCTGTGCAACCCCCAATGAAACAAAGGATGCAGATAACAAACATAAATGAACACAAAAACCTCTAGGCAAAAAGTCAGTGGGGAACTTCAGACTGCTTGCATCAGTCACCATCTGATCTCCATGTTAAATCTTTTTTTTTTTTTTTTTATTTGACAGATAGAGTTAGACAGTGAGAGAGAGAGAGACAGAGAGAAAGGTCTTCCTTCCATTGGTTCACCCCCAAAATGGCCACTACGGCCGGCGCTGTGCCCATCCGAAGTCAGGAGCCAGGTGCTTCCTCTTGGTCTCCCATGCTGGTGCAGGGCCCAAGCACTTGGGCCATCCTCCACTGCACTCCTGGGCCACAGCAGAGAGCTGGACTGGAAGAGGAGCAACCGGGACTAGAACCTGGCACCCATATGGGATGCTGGTGCCGCAGGCGGAGGATTAACCAAGTGAGCCATGGCGCCAGCCCCCATGTTAAATCTTAACATAACTGAAAAGGGACAACCAGATCCTTTGAGTCTAGGGTAATGCAAAATATAGCAAACCAACTACAAAATATTCTCAATAAAACGATGGAACCAAATCTACCAAAGCCTCAAGAGAAGCTCTGGGGCTGGTGCTATGGTGCAGCAGGTTAGGTAGCCTCTTGTGACATCAGCTTCATATATCAACCTACATCTGAGTGCTAGTTCAAGCACCGGTTGCCGGGCTTCCTTTTTACTTCCCTTCTAATGCTTCTGGAAAAGCAGCAGAAAATGGCCCAGGTACCTGCCATGTACCAGGTACATGCCACCCATGTAGGAGACTGAGGTAGAGTCCCAGGCTCTTGGCTTCAGACTGGTCCAGCCCTAGCCATTGCAGTCATTTGGGGAGTGAACCAGTGAGTGGGAAATCTTTCTCTGCCTCTCCCTCTCTTTCTGGCACTCTGCCTTTCAAATAAACAAATAAATCTTTAAATAATAAAATAGCCAAGTTCCAGTTAATAACAGATAAGGCAGATAGTGGAACAAGATAAATAATATTACAAGGACATAAACAACTAGATCCAAAACTGTATAACACAAAGAACATCACTTCCTTAACAAATAAAATGACACTGAAAAACAAGGGAGAGAGTACTGCTACAAATTAATAGAAAGTTAAGATTTTGGATTGCATATTGATTCGAGCAAATCAATTTCAAAAAGACACATGAAACAACCGGAGAAAGATCCTGCCCCCACCCCCAAAAAAAACCTCTTACTATGAGAGTCAGAGATACGTATACAAGTAAATAAAGGTATTTGTGGTATTTGCTTTAAAATATTATAGGTAAAGAAAAAAAGGAAATGTGTATAGCGTGGTAAGACCAAACAAAAGTAGAATGTTGATGGCTATTCAAGCTTGATGAGTGCTTATAAGGGGTTTTTTTTTAAACTCTCCTGTGTATACTTAAAATTCTCCCTAATGAAACTGAAAATTAACTGAACCATAATATTTTAAATGGCAATGCACACTTGGCTGAGGTACACGTAAAGAGGTAGTTTCCAAGGAAGTAGACAGAATCACTTTTCTAAAAATTACTATTTAGTATGTTTCAAATGTCTTAAAACTTTACATTCAGGACTGGTCTTTGAGCTTGTGGTTAAGATGCACATAAGCTTGCCTGGGTTTGATTCCTGATTCCAGTTTCCAGCTCACACAGACCCTGCGAGATGGTGGTGACAGCTCAAGTAACTGGGCTTCTGCTACCCACATGGGAGACATGGATGCAGTTCCCATTCCTGGCTTCAGTCTCAGCCCAGCCTCAGCTTTTACAGTAATCTGAGAAGTGAACCAGAGGATGGGAATGCTCTCTCCCTTTCTGTCTCTCTACCTCTCAAATAAATAGAATAAAATTTAACAATCTAGCAAATTTAAAGAATTCTCAGGAAATTTTTATAGATGTGTACATCTTAACCAGTTACAAAAGAGATCAAAACAAGAGAAAATGTTCATGGTAAACTGTTAAGTACAAAATTAAAGCTATAAAATAGTACATATTTTTAATTATTTTAGTTTTATAACAATTTTTAATTTTTTAAAAAATTTCAACAGATACATAAAATATGCATTACTTATAGGGCACTCTGTTGATGTTTTGTTTTATGCATACATTGTGTAATACCCAATCGGGGAAATATATATATCCTTTCAAACATTTAACATTTCTTTATAGTCAACATATAAATTTTAGTTTTCTTAAAATCATTTATAAACCTGGAAAAAAACCCTGTATGAGTATTCTATTCTCCAGGATGTCAAAAGCTGTTGTTTCCATAGATGAGATTATGGTACTTTAATTTTTTAAAATGTTTTTTTCTATTCATGAGTATGATATATTTGTAGTAAACAAATTACTATATTTTAAAGTTCAAATGTGGATCAGTTCCTGAGAGTGGTTAATAATGGAACAGTAAGTGGTTATGGTGGTGATCTATGAAAAAATCAACTAAGTAATAGGAGGGATAAAGCAGAGTGCAAACATTAATAATTAATTTTTTAAAAGGGTAAGTACTCAGCACACTCTATTGTGAGGAAGACCAGACTTTAAATTTAAAAGTAGCAGTGTCAAAGTGAAAATTTAGGAGAGTCAGAAAGAGGATTAAAATTAGAAGAGGATTAGAGTTTAAATTTCAAATGAAGAGGAAATACACCTAAACCCAGTTGACTATGATGACTGAAAAGGTAATGCAGTAAAAATCCCAACACAATTCTGAAGAACCAAAGCAGTGTATTAGACAACTCTCTTCCTGTGCTTCTTCTCTGTACCATTCTGACAGCTTTTTCTAAATTTCTCAGGGAGGAATTTACTGACATAGTGGAGTCCAAAAAGAAATGTCAGGATATTAATATGATACAAATGTAATTTTGTCTACTGAATTTAGCTTACTTAACAAGGCTTACATCTGTTAAGCGATTAATTCTAACATACTGAAATCTAGAAAAGCCTGTAAAACTGCACTTTGAACTATACGTGGCTAATAATCAGTAAAAACAGTCTTCTTATGCATCTTCCTACACTTCCTACACTTCAACCTTTCAGTTGCCTCTTGCCTAAATCACACAAAATCAAACAAAATGTCCAACTACCTGGTTTCCGTACTTTCTTTGGTTCGTCATAGTCCTTGTTTTCTGGATTTGGAGATTCTAGAAAGCTGATTTCTTCTGTGGCACTTTCTCCCTCTTGGTTCTTGAGACTGTCTTCCTCTTCTTGAATAGAGGATTCCAATTCTGATTCCTCTGGATCAAGAAATATCTGGCCAGCGACTACTCTTCCTGCAGTGTTGTGGTCCTTTACTGACTCATCTGGTGGCAAAGGAGACTGAGAATATAAAGGATTTTAGTTCTCAATGGTACCAAGACTCCCCAGTCCAGTTCTCCATAACTTCACTCCCCCAGCTCCTTTTGAAGCAACCACTTATCTCTACAGGCTTGCCCTGTGTTCATCACCTTTCTAACTCCTACACTTCCTTGAAATACCAACTTTTGTGTAACTTCCCCCAGGCAGTTTTCCTTAAATCGAGAAGTCTGGGATAGGTTTTCCCCTACACGCTCCTCACATATCTTATACTTCCTCTACGACGGATCTGAATTGTAACTTCATGTGTTTATCTATATTCTCTCTAATCTGGAGATCACACCTCCTATCTGACTGGTCTTCTTGGATACCTAAGAACCAGCCTTACTCATTCAATCACACAGTAAGTGCATTAATTCACTAGATTTTTTATTGTTTGAACACCTATGTAAGTGAAAACAAATGGCAGAGATTAAATTAAGTCTTCAAAATTAAAAATAATTAAAAACTCAAAAAAAGAATAAAACCAATCTCTCACTAAGCAGTAATATTACCGTCAAAGGCTCTCCACACACACACAAACTTACACACACACACACACACTCACTCACTGCATTTTCAAGTTGAAATTAAACCAAATAATCAACACTCTTATGGAAATCTTTACTACTGTCTGTGTGGTAGGTCAGTGATTTTTCTCCTGGAAGAAATAGTACTGACACCATATATCAAAAAAAAAAAAAAAAAAAAAAAAAACTCAATTGTTCCTCAAAAAAATACAGCTTTCATGTTTTTTCTAAGGCACATAATTTATGCTTGTAAATTGGGCAGCAAATTCTGGCCATTGCAAATTTTGGTACAAACCTTAGAATCTAAGGATTCATCCTGGCTGCCTTCTTCATCTGCAAAGAAATTTTAAAATAATTTAGTCAATCTTTCTTGTTGGGAAATTATTAAATAAAACATTTGATAAGGACAGCAAATAATACTCATACCCAGGATAAATAGGCCTAGAATTACTTAAAAATTGGTTGCATTCAGTAACTGTTCAGACATGATTAAATAAAAGGAAAAGCTGTGCTTGGGGCTGGGGGGGGGGGCAGGTTTTCTTTTTCTCCAGCACAGATACTAGCTTTATTAGTTACATGGGTTGGAAGACCAGTCAGTCCCTACCACTAAAAACAGACACTTTAGATCATCCAATTCTTTTGTATACAGTGAGAATGATATACTAAGTTCCTAATGATCAATCTCTAATTTCACAGTCTAGGCTTTCACCTATTCTCTTCCTTTGTTCAAGAGTGGGAGTTACATTAGCTTATTTTAGTGTTAGCATTTTACTGTTCACTAGTACAACTAAGGATGGATAAGAAGAATTATTATTTGTCGGCAGAGCTGCCAGACAAGAATATTTAGGAACTGTATTCTACTTGACTGAAGACATCAACAACTATGGGTAAAAAAGCAGCACTATACTGTCACTTATTCACTCACAATGAAGCTCTGAGAGCTATTTATTAAGAAATCAACAGCTTACATTAAATAAATGATGAATCCAGCCACTAGGCATGGCTTCCAGATTCATATAGGCTGCTTAGGTTTTGTTTGATTATATTAATTTTCTATTATTCTTTCCATATTTTCTGGCTATTATTTCTATTTTGGTTGCTTGTTTTCCTTTTGCCTGCTCTTACATAAACACATGAAACAAAACAACAATGTTCAGGTGCAAATGTTTGATCCTTGCATTCTCTTCCAGTTAAAAAAAAAAAAAACAAAATTGTTGGATGATTCCCAAGTTTCCTTCTTTCCCTTAAAATTACCTGATTTTACCTGGGAGGGAGTGTCAGGATTGCCTGCTCCACAAGCTATTTAAAAAATTAACTGGGGCCGGCGCCGTGGCACAGTAGGTTGGTCCTCTGCCTGCGGTGCCAGCATCCCATGTGGGTGCCGGTTCTAGTCCTGGCTGCTCCACTTCCAGTCCAGCTCTCTGCTGTGGCCTGGGAAGGCAGTGAAAGATGGCCCAAGTCCTTGGCCCCTGCACCCACATGGGAGACCAGGAGGAGGCACCTGGCTCCTGGCTTCAGACCAGCGCAGCTCCGGCAGTTGCGGCCATCTGTGGAGTGAACCAACGGAGGGAAGACCTTTCTCTATATCTCTCCCTCTCACTATCTGTAACTCTACCTCTCAAACAAATAAATAAAATATTAAAAAAAAAAGAAATTAACCACTTGATTTTTGATGGAAAATTTGGTGTTATAGTTGCCATATATTTTTACTTTATATACCTATATAGGAATTGCTATTTGTAATTCATAACTCTTTAGAATGCAACAAAAACAAATTTTGGAGTGCTTTACCAAAATACTGAGCTAACTTTAGGAAGTATAACCAACCCATTATGCACAAAATATACAACTTTTATTTCACAATATTTGTTTCTTTTGAATAACTGCGATGTTTTGCAATGGATCAAAGTACTGAAAATTATAGATACTATTCAACTACTTTTTAAAAAATTCATTTATTTGACAGGTAGTTATAGACAGAGAGAGACAGACAAAGGTCTTCCTTCCATTGGTTCACGCCCCAAATGGTCACTATGGCCGGCGCTGTGCCGATTGGAAGCCAGGAGCCAGGTGCTTTCTTCCTGGTCTCCCATGGGGTGCAGGGCCCAAGCACTTGGGCCATCCTCCACTGCCCTCCCGGGCCACAGCAGAGAGCTAGACTTGAAGAGGAGCAACCAGGACTAGAACCCAGCGCCCACATGAGATGCAGGTGCTGCAGGAGGAGGATTAACCAAGTGAGCCATGGCGCCGGCCCCCTATTCAATTACTTTTAAAATACTCTCAAAATATGTTTTATGCTTGGCAACCACAAAGAAAAGTATGATAGTGTATTAGGCATAGTACCCGTAACACTCAGGTAGACATCAATTAAGTAACAATCGTGATTTCTGCCAACTTCTTCACAAGTATCACTACAAGTCCATATCCTAAAGGTTCAAATTCCATTTTCAAAAAAACTTCGGATAAAGGAAAAATTACAACTCTGATATATAATTAATCACAAATATCCACTAGTTATCGATAGCAGACATTAAATGTACAAATGTGTATAATATATCCCTAAATACTGAAACTTTGGTCCTTGGAACATGAAATCACTAAATTTAGTACCTTGTCACATTAGGTCACACGGGTAGCTAACAGGTAAGTAAGACAGCCAGCTGCAAATAAACTCAACGACATCCACATCTGAGGTTCTCCAAGCTTTCAGGCATTACAGGAGTAAAATGTGTTTTTGAACTCCACAAGACACGACTTGTGACACCAGGGTTGTTTCATACGAATTGCATCATACGTCTTTCTCTACCTCTCTCTCCACAAACCATACTAAGATGACTGTTCAATAGGAGAATTCTTTCTTAGTTACTAAATTGGGAAAGCCCATGCCAGATGGTAGTTTTAAAGCACAGGCTACTTTCTCTTCCAAACTGATCACAAATTCACGTAACCCTTTATAAAAACTTGTTTATAACTTGAGCACTTCAGGTAAAGATTAAGGACACTGAAGTTATGCATGAATAAAAGTAAACAGTAATGCTTTTATAAGAACACAGACATCAAACAATATGACAAAATGCAAAAAGATTCACAGTCAAGAGTTATGGATTTCACTTATCAGCATCACATCCAAAAATAATGGTACATATTAACTGTACATTTATTTGAAAAAGATCATTTTTCATTTTTTTTTTCTATCAGCCAACAAAGCTGCAAAGTAGCAGGGGTATACTTTTAGGGAAAAGCAATCACTACAAAGTCGTTTTCCTGCCTGTCATTAACTAAACAGACTGATACAACTTCAAACACAGGGAGTTTAAAAAGAGTTTAGTGAAGAGACCAGGTACCCTGCCTCCTCTTTGCTATGGCTGCCTAGGATCTATGCAGATTCCAGGATATTCTTGATTCTAAATTACCCCAAACCTGAGGACTGGCAATCTAGGTTTGAGACCCTGTTTCATCATATATTAATTTCAACACACATGGTTCAATACTGAAAACCTGTTGAGTCTCCATTTTTTCAATCTGTTAAAAGGGGATAATAACATATGTACTGTTGATTCACACTGTGTTAAGGAATTAACACCATGAAATTAAATATACTCTGCAATCTGACCACTATTCTCTGAATTCATGGTATTAACGTAGCTGCTACCCGAAACAGCTGGCAGTGGACATAATTAAAAGGACTCTAGCACAATTTGGAACAAAGGAAAAAGGGTACATCATTTGCTTCTTCCTGCCAATAAGAGGACATTTATTTCTAAGTGAGAAAAATGAAAGCCTTTTCACTATCATCTTGAGAAAATTAAAAGATTATTCATTTGAAAGATTTATTTATTTGAAAGTCCAAGTTACAGAGACAAGAAGCATAGAGAAATCTTGCTTTTGCTGGTTCACACTCAAATGGCTGCAACCACCAGGGCTGGGGCAGGCTGAAGCCAAGTCTCCCAGATGGGCACAGGGGTCCAAGCACTTGGGCCATTCTCTGCTGCTTTCCCAGGCCATTAGCAGGGAGTAGATTGGAACTGGAGCAGCTGGGATATGAACCTGTGTCCATATGGGATGCTGGCATTGCAGGCAGTGGCTTGAACTGCGATACCACATTGCAGGCCTTGAAAAGTGTATTTCGAATGTACTCTTTTAAATTTATTTATTCATAGGGAAAGATCATTGTAATATAAATATTGTATCTAAAGAAGGATAGGTAACAGTTACTAATAGTGACAGGATGAAGACTTTGTTACTTTGTTGGCAGACTGTATTTACCTGCAATTTGCCCTGGGCAATCGCTAACACTGAAACACAAAATTACTACTCAAAATTTGATTTTTAAACAGGATAAAAACTTTAAATTTTTAAAATGAGGTTAAAATCCCATGTAAGTAAGCACCTGATGAATTAAAGAGCCAACTGAAAATGTAAGAACCTAATTTATAAAAATTCATATATGTGCTTTATGATATTTGAACTTCAAACAAGGACAGCATAGTACAGTCATTCCTTGATATTCAGGGGGATTGGTTCTAGGATCTCTTGGGGACACTAAAATCTGTGATTGCTTAAGTCCTTTACATAAAATGGCACCATATTTGCAAACAGCCTATGCATAAAATTATTTACAATTCCTAAATGCTATGTGAACACCTGTTACCCTGTAACATGCAACTTTTTTCTGCCTATTTTCGACCCAGAGTTGACTGAATCTGCTGATGCAGGCCGGGTGGATACAGAGGGCCAACTTTACTATCTTTCAGTATGCATATCTACATTGTTTCAGTCCTAAATAAGTAAACTTTTTAACTTCATCAAAGAAACATTTTGGTACAGCTTTAACCATGATGGAGATCAGAGCAGACATTTCTGGAACATAGTCTTCTGCTTACAACAATGATTTAACACTTCAGTATTAATAGTTCATATTATAGCATCTTGATCGTTCCAACTGTTGATCTCCAAATACCAACTCCACTAACATGGAAGTCTATGAAATAAAGTCAAAGAACGAGATGGGAAAATTTGTATGCTTTAATCTTTAAGCTCTCCAAAGGTAATTTACAGGGATATACACTATATTCATTATTTATTGCAGTGCTCAAATTTTATGGAAAGAATCACATATGGATGATTGTTAGCTCTTCTTAGCTCACAGATACCTGACCTGGTCCAGACCTAAAAATGGATTTTTAACAACCCCCTAAGAGGAATTCTGATGCAGGCAGTTCATGGTCCACCAGGGACTCTACCCATTAAACTCAACAGCTTCGCTTCATACTTCCTTAGATCAAGTAACTGCAAGACGTGTCTTCAGAATTTCTGTGCTGTAGAAAGTCTGGTCCTGAACACAAGCTATGACTACAACCGAAGGGAGAGGAGTGACCTCAAGGCATGATGTTGGCAGTAAGTAATTAGCATATGCTTGTTGTGAAATGGTATCCCAAACCACATCATGGAGAGAATTCTGGTTTAGGCCTCTTATTTTAGAAGCAGGATGACGTTAATAGCCTTGATGTACAAGTAGGACAGATGCTTTGGGGGGTTCAAGTAACCATCTGGGACACTTTCTGTTAAAAATTAAGTTAGTTGACATACTCTCCCTTGATCCAAAAAAATTTAAAGTCACCGAGCAGCTGTCCTGTTAACTAAAACTTAATAAAACTCCAAAGCTTTACTGTTTATCAACCTTTACACACACTCTCAAAATACAAGTTTTTCTGAGGTAGGTAGATTAAAACATTAGGAAAAAAAATGCAAAGCCTGAGAATAAACCAGATAACTAAAAAAGAACTCAAAAGCACATGAATTTCTGTATCTGTATAAAAAGTTGAACCCACCGGCTCTCCAATTTTATGGACCAAGATTTTCTCAACAACCATAAATTCACTGTTAATAAACACTGGGCAATTCTAACAGACGGGACCGCTTTCTCGGTAAGATTAAGAAAAAAAAAAAAGACGAAGGGGTGGTTACAATTACATCAGAAGTCTTGGTTTTTAAAACAAAGCGCTCAGCGACCACCCCAGGTGGTAAGCAAACCGCTGTCCACATCCTGGGCTTGCCGGACCCTGCTCTGCCCGGTGTGACAGCTCCAGTCGTTCCAGCCACTTACAAACCCCACACAGCGTGTCATCTACAAGGAGGGTCCAGGAAGCTGCCGCCGGACGGTCTGAGCCAGCCGCTGGGATCCTCTCCCGTGGAGTGAGTGCCCATTCGGGAGCAGTCGGGTGAAGTTTGTTACGTGGGAGAGAGGAGTGGGCAGCGTGACCGCCCCTTTCTCCCTTCTTCCCTCCAGCTCCCTGGACAACCCGCTTCGGCCTACGCCGCCCGGAGCCCGAGAAGGCCGAGTAGTGACAGGTCAGGGAGAGGTGTGACCAGGGAAAAGTGCAGTTCGCAGCCCGGAGTCCCCACCGCTCCGCCCACGGGTGGAGGCCTGGGGGGTCGGGGGGCGGTGGCGCCGGGCCTGCAGCCCGAGGGGGCGGATACTGACCCGAGGACACCATGGCCGGACCCAGCAGCGCCGCATAGAGCAGCAGCGTCAGCCCCACCTGGACCCGCATCCTGCTGTCGGTGCCACCACCACCCCCTGGAGCTGTCGCCTTCACCTCCGCCACCACCGACTCGGCCGCCGCCGCCGCCGCCTCTCCGAGGCTCTTCCTGCTCTGGTCGCCTTCCTCCGCCCCTTCCCAGGCCTCGCTGACCCAGGGTGCAGCCAATCCGCGAGCGCCGCCCCGTGTCCTTGGCCCAATCGCCATCGTTTCTCCGCCCTCCTCATTGCCCCGCCCCGGATCACCCATTAGCCAATGATTGTGCGAGGCTCCCACTTCGGCTTCTCTGGTTGGCCCACGGCCTCACCGACATGGCCCCTGCTAATTGGTAGCCGCTGGGTTCAGCCATCCCTGAATCAAAGCGTGAGTCACAGGGGCTGAGAGAAAGGAGACTCACCCGGACTACGATTCCCAGAGTGCATTTCATCCGATTCTTTCGTGTGCTAGTAGGAAGCGCAGTCCATGGTGGGACCAGATTGCCCAGTTGCAGGTTCAGGTTGAAGTTGAGAATTTAACACCTGGGCTAGATATTAACTAAAGGGCATGAATACACGAGCCTATTTTTTTTTTTTTTTTACGAGCCAAGCTAAGTGCCAGAGAACGCGTTATAAGATTAGGAACATGTAAAGTATTGCTTTTATTTAGAAAATTTGATTAAAAAAAAAAAAAACTACCCTGTACATGAAAACTTGAAAACTGTAATGCAAACGACCGCCTGTCCCCTCCCCGACCAGACAGAAGGAAATTAACCCCTCCTGGTGTAGATGATCTCAGTGCTAGCATTCATTTTTACTAGAGCCATCAGATAATAATCATGTGGAAACTGTGCCAGCAGCCTTTGTAGAACACGTTTAAACAGTTGTCCTCACCCTTTGCTTGTGAGTTGCATTGTTCTCTTCTTCCTGGACTAGAGCTGGGAAGCGAGGTTGATGTGTGAGGAGGTAGAAGTGACAGTGATTGCATTGCTGAGACAGTTCATGTGGTACCTACCAGTTCCAGGCATGCTAATACTGAGTAGCAAGGTAGTGATTTACTATTTGATTTATTTGTTTCAACAAATGTGTCTCCCTGCTTTCTCTAGCATCTACCTACAATAAACTCCTGGGCCTGGAACCTACCCAGGTCAAGTTCATGGCTTTGGAAAAACCTGCCCTGGCCATCTTGATTTTTTTTTTGTGGGGTGGTGAACAACATCACAAATTTAAGTAAGTACTGTGCAAAAACAAAAACAACAGCACCCATGCAGAACACAGAACTGGGTGCAAACTAAAGTGTTGTGTGCAGAGGGAGGGAGATGGGCCAAAACGCCAGGTTGGGTACAGATTGGAGTCATGTGTCAGGGGAATTGCCACACCTCCCCAGTCTGGTGAAAGCACCTGTTCAGCTCCCAGCTTGTTTCCATTGTGCCTGAAGATAAGCCCATAATAATCCTTGTCTGGATTGCATGTTGGGCTCTTAGCAATTTCTATTTGAACCTGAGATCTGTACCACTATCAACTTGAACTAATTACCTTTTTAATTTATTATTTTAATGCTTGCTCTTTTCTCATTCTAACTGAAAATGCTCCTAATGGCTCCCGTTTTCCCTTTCCTGGAAGATGCACCTGAATTCTTACCATATTCACTGACTTATTTCCCCCTTCCCTCTAACCTACATCACATACTATGACTGTATTAATGATTCTCCAACATGGCATTCGTCTACCTATTCAAGTTTTTTCAGTGACTGCCCTTTTCACAGGATCAAAAAAAATTAGGCCTTCTGCAGTTCACAAAATAGGAATGTATGCTGATAGTTCTACTCTCTAGGAGAAATAATGGGGAAAAAATTGCTGCCTGCCATAGAGGGAGAAGTGATTATTTGATAAAATTGAGGGAAGTTCACTACTTCATTAGATCCATTCATTTTCCATTTTCATCCGTGTTGAATGCCTCCTGTACTGTAGGACCCTGTGCTGGGTGTTGCATGGCCCAGTATTTTACTTCTCTTTTACTGCTTTCCAGATTTACACACTCACACAATTTTGCCTTCCCATGGGCTTCCTTTCTCTCTTCCCAATGCCCTTGCTTCTTCTGTGCCACACTTCTGGCATCCTTCCCAGTTTCACTTGCCTTTCTTCTCAGCTGAGACTTCTTCAGCCAGGCCTATCTTCGTTAATCCTCATTTTTTTTAAAAGACTTTTTTAAAATTTGAAACTTAGAGTTACAGAGACGGGGGCAGGCAGAGAGAGGAGGAGAGAGAGAGAAAGAGAGAGGGAGAAAGAGAGAGGGAGAAAGAGAGAATCGTCCATCTGCTGCTTCACTTCTTAAATGGCCACAACAGCTGGGGCTGTGCCATGGGGAAGCCAGGAACCTGGAGCTTCTTCCATGTCTTCCACATGGGTGCAGGGGTCCAAGCACCTGGGCCATCCTCCATTGCTTTCCCAGTTCATTAGCAGGGAACTGGATTGAGAATGGAGCAGCAGGGTCTTGACTCAATACCCACATGGGATGTCAGCATAGCAGATGTTGGATTACCCTGCTACGCCAGCCCCCCAACCTTCATTTAAGTATCTATAAAACATTCACAACATTTTTCATAAAGATTTATTTTTTATATAAAGATTTATTTATTTGAATGCAGATTTAGAGAGGGGGAGGAGAGAGAGGAGGAGAGGGAGAGTGGGAGAAGGGGAAGGAGAGAGGAGTGGGGAGAGGGAAAGGGAAGGAGGGAGAAGAGGGAGAGAAAGGGGGAGGGAGGGGAAGAGAAAGGAGGGGGAGGGAGGGGAGAGGGAAAAGAGAGGGAGACTAGGATGGGAGAGAGAGAAGGCAGGGAGGGGGAGGGAAAGGGAGAGGGAGAGAGGTTGGGATGGAGAGGGAGAGAGTTAGAGAGGGAGAGGGAGGGAAAGAGGGGAGAGGGGGAGGGAATCGTTCATCTGCTGGTTTGCTCCCCAAATGGCCTCCATCGCTGGGGCTGGACCAGGCTGAAGCCAGGTGCCTGGAACCCCACTCAGGTCCCCACATGGGTGTCAGGGGCCCAATCACTTGTGCTCTATTCAACTGTTTCTGTGGGTGCATTAGCAGGGAGCTAGACCAGAAGCTGAGCAACCGGAAGTCTCACTGGTGTGGCAGACAGTGTTAGGTATGGAATAGCTCAGGGTTCCGGGCTTTCATATCCCCAGAAAGGAGAGACAGAAAAGGAGATGGCAACTGATCTCAACAGAGACAGGCTGCTTTATTTGAAGCAAAGAGGTTGGCAACCGTCTGTTCTTGCGAAGAGACTGCAGGCAGGGCATGTTTAGAACCAAGTTTTAATCCAGGTAAGGAGGGAATTTGTCACTACAAGGTGGGGGGGGGAGTGAAGCGGTGGGGGTAGGAGTGGAGGGGGTGGAAAGCAGCTGGCTGGCAGAAGAGTAGGGGACTCTTGGAAGCCTCATGGAATTTCCCCCCTATTTTTTTTTTTTTTTTGACAGGCAGAGTGGACAGTGAGAGAGAAAGAGAGACAGAGAGAAAGGTCTTCCTTTGCCATTGGTTCACCCTCCAATGGCCGCCGCGGCCGGCACACCGCGCTGATCCGATGGCAGGAGCCAGGTGCTTCTCCTGGTCTCCGAAGGGGTGCAGGGCCCAAGCACTGGGCCATCCTCCACTGCACTCCCTGGCCACAGCAGAGAGCTGGCCTGGAAGAGGGGCAACCGGGACAGAATCCGGCGCCCCGACCGGGACTAGAACCCGGTGTGCCGGCGCTGCAAAGTGGAGGATTAGCCTAGTGAGCCGCGGTGCCGCCTCCCCCCCCTCCCCCAATCTATTTCATAGCTGCCCTGTGCAGCTTATCTACTTTTCCATTTGCATTGCAAGGAATTGAGTAGGGTTTGGTTAGGCACCAAGGGTCTCAACAAAAGGGAGGAAGGAAGGTGGGGGGAGGTAAGGGAGGAGGGGAAAGGTGTGACAAGTCCTGTATTCCGCTAAACCTATTGTGGCACAGTGCTGACCTTAGAGTTTTATTTCTTTATTTGACAGGCAGAGTGTCAGAGAGCGAAAGAGGGAGAGAGAGATCTTCAATTCACTGGTTCACTTTCCAAATGTCCACAATTACCAGGTATGGGCCAGGTCTAAGACAAGAGCCAGGAACTCCATCCTGATCTCCCACATGAGTGGTAGGGGCCCAAGCACTTGGGACATCTTCTGTTGCCTTCCCAGGCCCAATATAAGGAAGCTAGAGGGGAAGTGGAGCAGCCAGGACTCAAATCGGCACAGGTATGGGATGCCAGTGACACAAGAGGGAGCTTAACCCGCTGTACCAAGACGATGGCTCCGCAGCCTTGTTTTTTTAAGTGCATTGTAAACTGTCGCTCCCCCTCTTCGTGGAGGAACGACACAGGACCCTGCGCTGTTCTTTCGTCTGCTCAGCCCTCCCCGGGTTTGCTGCTGGTTCTTCCCGGGTTGGCTACTATCCCTTCCACCTCCGTGGAAGGGCAGTTCCCCCTGGCCGCATTCCCCACTTCCGCAGGGGAGCGGCACACCGCCGGCCGGTTCTCTCGGGGGCTGCACGGGTTCCCTTAGATGTTCCCCATAGATGTTCCTGGTGCATGCCGTCTCTCTCCTCCTTTATAGTCCTCCTCCGCCAATCCTAACTCGGCTGCCCACACGCCGAGTACGCTGCTCTCCTCCAATCAGGAGCAAGTCCTGCTGCCTATTGGTTGAACTGGAGGCAGCTGTGCAGAAGCCGTCTCTCCCTTCTCAGCGCCATATTGTGGGAGAGCAGATGCATAGAATAAGTCTTAATTCCAGTAACAGTATAGTCCGGGTTGCTCCCCACAGATCCCCCTTTCTTTTTATTTTTTGGTGTTGATACGCGCCTGTCTTCAGTGTCCCGCAGCACACACTCTGCTCTGCTTGCTAGAGTTGCCACAGGTTCTTACAAGTCCTATCAATCAGGCAAACCGAATCCGGGTCCTCTCTTCGCCATGTTGTGAGGAGGTTTTTAGGCGCTGATGCGTGCCTGTGTTCGGTGCCCTGCAGCGCATGTTCTGCTCTGCCTGCAGGTGCTTACAAAACCTAGCAATCAGGCAAACCGAATCCAAGCCTTCTCAGCGCCATATTGTGGGGAGGCTTATTG